TTTGATAATGATAATGATAAAGAGACTTCATTCTTTTACAGCTTAGGGAAAACACATTGAAGTATGATGAATGGAACGAGGGTGATTTACTTCGGAGTTATTGGTTTCAGATTTGACCAGACTGGAGGTCAATGAAGCTGTTTACATTGGGAAGAGAAGAGGCCTAATACCTCCTATTACTAGCAGCATCAAAACAGAGCGGCTGTAGCTATTACCAAGAAAACTACATAGGAAGACATGAGGTGAGGAGTCCTCTCTTCCCTACCCTACCATTTGCTGTCCTCATTAAGGCTGAGATTTGCCTCCTGTGCATAATCCACTGACAAACTTTTACACTACACTCAATCTACTTGATCAAGAAATACATCTACATTGGATGCGGTACCTTAAACAACTGAACAAGTTTTTAAGCATGGCACACTGTTCTTAACAGCATATGTTAATTGCTGATGAATATTCACAAATTGAGAATTTTTGTGTTTAACCCAGTTGCTAAGCAGTACATTCCTTTTCAGTGATATAAGAAAACGTCATTTCTTTTTTTTTTTTTTTAACATTTTTTATTTATTTCTAGAAGAGAGAGAGAGAGAGACAGCGTGAGCAGGGGAGGGTCAGAGAGAGAGGGAGACACAGACTCTGAAACAGGCTCCAGGCTCTGAGCTGGCAGTCAGCACAGAGCCCGACACGGGGCTCGAACCCACGAACCGCGAGATCATGACCTAAGTGAAAGCCGGACGCTTAACCGACTAAGCCACCCAGGCGCCCCAGAAAACGTCATTTCTTAATGCATCTTTTAAGATGTCTAGGAATACATCTCATAGAAGAGCTTCTAAATAAATCATAATGTTTCATTTTATTTTGCATGAGCTTAAAATCTTTAAATGGATTCCACAACTTCTTTATAGTAAGAAAATCTTTGTTCAGCAAAAGAACAAAGGATTCTATAAATTTAACTTTTTCAGTATACAGATTAATTCAAAATAAAAAATTTTATAGTAATATTAAAACCTCTAGTAGCTCTTTTACATTTTAAAACAGCTTGTAGGGGTGCCTGGGTGGCTCAGTTGGTTATGACTCTTGATTTCAGCTTCGGTCATGATCTCATGGTTGTGGGATTGAGCCTCATGTCAGGCTCCACACTAAGAGCATGGAGCCTGCTTGGAATTCACTTTCTCTGTCTCTTTCTCTCTATCTCTCTGCCCCTCCTCTGCTCACATGTGCTCTCCCTCTCTCTCTCAAATATTAAGCATTAATTAATTAATTAATGTATAAAAACAGCTTGTAATAAAGGCTACTCAGGAACTTGTGACATGTATATAATGATTGTCTTCACATAGAAGTTAAGGCATAGATCAGAGTTAAGAAGCAGATCAAACACTTGGAAAAGCACAATATAATAACTTCTTTCTCTAAAGTCTTTTTGCTTAGTAGCCATTCTCTAGTAGTTGGATTTGGAAAGTTGTTTCTAAGTGCAATACTTTTAAGATAGAAATAGATTTCATTCAATATTGACTGACATCCAGTTGAACAGAGTAAAATATTTGCACTAATGCATATTTTATGTTATATAAATTCTAGATTTTTAGATTTTTAAATGTTAAGGTTATAAGCCTGGGTGGCTCAGTTGGTTAAGCATTGTACTCTTGATCTTGGTCCTGATCAGGTACAAGTTCAGGTAGAACTCAGTTCGTGAGTTCGAGCGTCACACGGGGCTCTGTGCTGACAGTGCAGAGTCTGCTTGGCATTCTCTCTCTCTCTCTCTCTCTCCCTCTCTCTCTCTCTGCCCCTAGTCTACTCATGCACTCTCTCTCTCAAAACAAATATAAAAAATTTTTAACAAATAAATATTAAGGTTATAAAATATACTTTGGCTTACTGCATGTCTTCCTAGTAATATATATCTTCTTGGCAGAAAGAATACCAACCACTGGGTATCCAACATATTATGAACACATATAAAAAGTAGAAGCTGACACCTTGAAGGAAAGATTATCATTACCCGTGAACTCTGAACATTAATAAAAGTGATCAATTTAAAAAAGGAGATGAGTGGAGTAGAGACAGGAAGCAATGACTCAGTGACATAAAGGTAATGGCTAATTTTACTCCTGTTTTGACTTTACTCTCCTTCTTTGCTACCCAAGCTACACATTGTCTTGCACTAGGCTCTAAGATCATCATACATTTCCCCCTCAAGCCCTTAACTTTGCTTTTGGATATAAATATCAACAGGTATTCTTTTTTCAAAGAAGTATAGCTGACATACAACATTATATTAAAATAGATGTTCTTGGGGCGCCTGGGTGGCTCAGTAGGTTAAGCGTCCTACTTCGACTCAGGTCATGATCTCACGGTTCATGGGTTCGAGCCCTGCATCGGGCTCTGTTCTGACAGGCAGCTCAGAGCCTGGAGCATGCTTCGGATTCTGTGTCTCCCTCTATCTCTGACCCTCCCTGCTCACGCTGTCTATCTCTCTCAGAAATAAATAAAACATTAAAAATAAATAAATAAGTAAATAAATAAATAAATAAGTAAAATCGTTGTTCTTGAAAGATGTGAGCAGGCAAGAGTAATTCAACAAATGGTGCTACAACATAATATCCATATACAAAATAAAGGAAACTTATGGGGAACTTTTCCTCACACTAGATATAAAAATTAACCTAAACCAGATCATAAACTTATATGAAAATCCAAAACTATAAGACTTCTAGAAGAAAACAGAAAAAAATCTTTGTGATCTTGGGCTGGGAAAGATTTCTCAGAGAGGACATAAAAAAACATAAAATAGAAAAGAAAAAAGTGATAAACTTCATTAACATTAAAAACTAAAGCCTTTTGTTTTTTGAAAGGTAAACATTAAGAAATGAAAAGACAAACCAGAGACTGAGAGAAAATGTTCACAACATACTTATGTAACAAAGGACTTTACTCTTACAAATTCAACTATAAGAAAACAATCACATTAAAAAGATGTGAAATGACAGTCACTTTACAAAAATATTTACAAGTGGCCAGTAAGCACGTGAAATGATGCTCAATACCATTAGTCATCAGAGAAATACAAGTTAAACCCACAATAAGATGCTATATACCCGGGGTGCCGGGGTGGCTCAGTCGGTTAACCCTCCCACTTTGGCTCAGGTCATAATCTCACAGTCTGTGGGTTAGAGCCCCATGTCGGGCTCTGTGCTGACAGCTAGCTCAGAGCCTGGAGTCTGCTTCAGATTCTGTATCTCCCTCTCTCTCTGACTCTCCCCTACTCATGCTGTCTCTCTCTCTCTCAAAAATAAGTAAAACATCAAAAAGAAAATTTAAAAAATAAGATGCTATGTACCCACTAGAATGGCTAAAGTTAAAAAGATAGACAAGTAATGGAGACACATTGTTGGTGGGAATGTAAAGTGATTTAACTGTTCTGGAAAATAGTTGGTAGGTTTTTTTTTTTAAAGTTAAACATACAACTATCATATAACCCAGAAAATCCACTACTAGGTATATTTGCCCAAAAGAAATGAAAACTTACATCCACAAAAAAGGCTTGTGCATAAAAGTTCTTAGTAATTTTATTTTATGACAAAAACTGAAAATGACCCACATGTCCAAAGGCAAAACAAAGCACAACATATCTAAAAAATGTGATATAAGACAGCAATAGAAAGGAATGAACTATTAACACATGTAGCAGTATGGATGAACCTCAAAACATTATGCCAAATACTGGGAGTTGCATGGGATAAATCACTAAATTCTACACCTGAAACTAATATAACACTGTATGTTAACTGGAATTTTTTTTTCTTTTTTTCTTTTTTTTTTTTTTTTACAAATAGTTTATTGTCAAATTAGTTTCCACATAACACTCAGTGCTCATCCCCACAAGTGTCCTCCTCCATGCCCATCCCCCCCTCCCCCCCACATCCATCAGTCCTCAGTTTTTGTCAGCATTCAAGAGTCTCTCATGGTTTGCCTCTCTCCCTTTCCCCCACCATTTCCGCCCTTCTTCTCCCCCTTGTTCCTCCGTCAAGTTCCTCCTAATCCTCCTATACGTGCAAACATATGATATTTGTCCTTCTCTGCCTGACTTATTTCGCTCAGCATAACACCCTCAAGGTCCATCCATGTTGCTACACATGGCCAGATTTCATTGTTTCTCATTGCCATGTAGTATTCCATGGTATAGATAAACCACATCTTCTTGATCCATTCATCTGTTGATGGACACTTAGGCTCTTTCCATGTTTTAGCTATTGTGGAGAGTGCTGCTATGAACATTGGGGTACATGTGCTCCTATGCCTCAGCATTTCTGTATCCCTTGGGTAAATTCCTAGCAGTGCTATTGCTGGGTCATAGGGGAGTTCTATTGTTATGTTAACTGGATTTTAAATAAAAACTTGAAAAAGAAAAAAACTTTATGCCAAATAGAAGAAACCAGATACAAAAAAAGTACATATAGTACTTTTATATAGTGCATATAATTTATTATACCATTTATATAAAATCCTAGAACATTTAAAATTATTGTACAGTATGGCAAATTTTATAATTATTTTACCACAATAAAATAATGTAAAAGAAAACAATCTACAGTAATAGAAAGCAAACAAATTATTTTCTAGGACCTGGGATTGGCTACAAAAGGGCACAGGAAACTTTTTGGGATAACAGAAATGTTCTATAGCTTCATTATGGTAGTGATTACATGGATTACTTGTCAAAATTCATCAAAGAGCACACCTAAATAAAATAGATGCATTTTTATGTAAATTATACTTTGGTACAATTTATTTAAAAAGTAAAAACACATACACATGAAAAACATTCTTATAAAGGCAGGAGGACAAGAAAATCCGGGAAATAAAGAATATGAATCTCCAGTTATAAATGCATTGAAAAGTGGGTCTTCATTTCAGTCTTTATTATGATTAGGAAGGTCCTACTATAATGTCAGTGTATTAATTTAATATTACTACACAATAAATTACACAATCTTAGAAAATTAAAACAATACAAATTTATTATCTCACAGTTTCCATCAGTCAGGAGTCTGGGCTGACTTCATTGCTTAGGATCTCACCTGAAATCAAAGTGTCAGTGGGATGATCTAATTATCCCATTCAGATTGCATCTGTGGCTTGGGGTTCTCTTCCAGGCTCATTCAGGCTGTTGGCAGAATTCAGTTCCTTGTGGTTAGATGGCTGGAGTTTCTGTTTTCTCGCAGGCTCTCAGCTCCTAGAGGCTGCCCTCAGTTCCTAGCCATGAGGCTTTCTCACAAACTTGGCTACTATTTCATCAAAGCCAGCAGAAAAAAATATCTCCTTTAAGGGCTCATCTGATAAGGTCAGGCCCACCCCAGATAGTCTCCCTTTTGATGAACTCAAAGGATGTTAAACATCTGCAAAATCTCATCTTTGCTATACAACAAAATCTCATATTCATAGATTCTTCCATGCTCAAGGGAAGGGGATTAGATAAAGTATGCATATAAGGAGGACAGGAATCTTAGGGGCCATTTAGAATTCTGCTTACAGGGGCGCCTAGGTGGCTCAGTCGGTTAAGCGTCTGACTTCGGCTCAGGTCATGATCTCGCAGTCTTTGGGTTCGAGCCTCCCATCGGGCTCTGTGCTGACAGCTCAGAGCCTGGAGCTTGTTTCAGATTCTGTGTCTCCCTCTCTCTCTGCCCCTCCCCAGCTTGTGCTCTGACTCTCTCTGTCTCAAAAGTAAATAAACGTTAAAAAAATTTAGAATTCTGCTTACAGTCTGCCCTCTGGCACTCAATAATTCGTGCTCCTCCCAAAGGAAAAAAAATATGCTCTCTCCCAAGGTTCCCCTCTTGTGCTACTACACCCTCATCTCAAAATCCTTGATCTCATCATCTAAATCATTGATATGTGATTTAAATAATGTTCCTGCATATAATCCATTAAGTACAGTTCCGTGAAGCACAATTCCTCTTGGCAGGCCTGGGAAACTAAAGAGACCAGTTGTCTGTCTCCAACACTCCCATCCCAAAATGCTGGGCCAGGCATGGGTAAATAGTTAGAGATATTCCAGTTCAAAACTTCCATCCTTGCCTCTTCATGAAAGGTAGCACATTTTGCAAGTGAATAATCAGCCAGCTTCCTAACAGAATTTTGCTGGTCTTAGCCTCTGCTCTGTTAAAGTAGCACCACTCTTGATCCCACAACCTGTATTAGTTCTCTATTGTTCCATATAACAAATTACTACTAGTTTAGCTGCTTAAATCAACAGACATTTACAGTCTCCCTGTTTCTGTAGATCAAAACTCCAAGCATGGCTTATCTAGGTTTTCGGCTTATAGTCACCAGGCTGCAATTCAGACCTTTCCTGGAGCAAAGGCCTTATCAGAAGTTTCACTGGGGAAAGATCTGCTTCCAAGCTCATTAGGTTGTTGTCCCAAGCTCATTAAATTCCCTTTCCTTGCATTTATATGGTTGAAGCTGCCGTCCCTCAAGGCTATATCATAGCAGCTGGCTTCTTTAAGGCAAGCAGGAAAGTCTTGTTCCCATCACCTAAGATCAAGTCTTACATAATGACATAATCATGGGAATGATATCCCATCACTTTTACATCCCATCACCTTTGCCATATTCTGTTGGCTAGAAGCAAGTCACAGGTTCTGCCCACATCTAAGGAGAGAGGATTATATAAGAATATGACTCCTTGGGGGCCACCTTAGTTTGTGTCCACCATTATGTTCCACTGTCTCCATTACTTTCTTTAATGTATAGTCTTCCACGTCTCTAGTATTTGGCACAGAGCCTAATCCAGAGGAGCTCTAGATAAATTAAATCTGCAGTTATCAAACCTTTGATTTCAGGACCCCTTTATACTCTTAAAAAAACCAGTATTGAGCATCTGAAAGAGCTTTTGCTTATATGGATTATATCTATTGATATTTAATGAGACATTTAAAAATTCATTTACTAATTCATTAAAAAGTAATAAACTCATATGTTAACGTACATATAACACTTTAAAATAATTATATTATCCAAAAATATAAGAAGAGTAACATTGTGTTATATTTTTGTAAATCTTCTTAATGTCTGGCTTCATAGAGGACAGCTAGATTCTCATACCTCTGGAAAACACCGCTGTACACACAACAAATAAATGAAGGCTATGATGGCAAATAAGGTCTTCCTATTATCGTGCATATAGTGTGACCTTGTGGGTGCGCTGAAAGGATCTTAAGGAACTCCGGGGATCCCCAGACCACACTTTGAAAACCACTGAATTAAGTAATTGTCATAAGCCGAGGAAAGGAAGTCGTTTGAATTATTCAAAAAGTTTTTATAGAGTGACTACTCTGTGCCAGGCACTGTTCAGAGTGAACTAGATAGATCAGGGTTGTTTTGTTTTGTTTTGTTTTGTTTTTCGTCTGGGTGCTCAGGGTACAGTGACAGATCAGGGACTGTCTCAGTTGACGTTTGAGCTGAGACTTAAGTGACAGAGGGCAGGCTATGCAGAAATCTGGGAAAAGAGAGTTCAGGCAGAGAAACAGGGCCCTGCCTCTCTGGAAGGTGGCCAGAAGGAGAGGGTGGCAAAACATCGGACAGGTGGGCGGGCCCAGATCGGGCGGGGCCAGGTAAAGAATTAAGAGTTTTAAGTCTAAATTTCTTGACTGTAGCAATATGGGGGAAGAGGTGTAATGGCTTAAGGATGTGCGTTTGGAGTCTAGGAAAGTCACTCAGAGGTCAAGCACAAGCTCCTGGGCCGGGGCCAGCTTGGCTTCTTTGAACCTCCCCATCCCGCCTGGAGCCTCAAATCCGCTTAATGACGCGACAGGCCCGGGGAAGGCGCGCACCCTACCTCAGGAAGCTTGGCTCTCGGCGCCCGCCGTAGACGTCGTGACACAGGCGACCCGTTGCCTTGGAACCAGTGAGACGCCACTCGGCCTCCGCCGCAGTCGAGAGTGCCTGCGTTGGGCCTCGGTCACCATGTCGGTGCTGGACGCGCTTTGGGAAGACCGGGATGTCCGCTTCGACGTCTCCTCGCAGTGAGTCGCTCCCGGGGCCTGTAGAGGGCGCCGCAGCGAGGTTTCAGAAGGAGCCTGCGCCCCCGCACCTCACGGCCCTCGCGAGAGCGGGAGGAGGTTTGCGCCTCTTGCCCTTTCCCCGGGAGACCCCGGGCTCGCCTGGCCCCTGCGGGAACGCGTCTAAATTACAGCGTTTCAGTCCTGTGCGGTCCGTGGCCGCGTTCTTGCCCGGGGGACTCATCAGGAGGCCGAGCCCAAATACGTCTAGGGCCATCCAGGGCATGGGCGTCCGGTGTGCCCAAGTGAGCTTGGGCTGCCAGTGTCGTGTGGCGGAGGAACGTTCGGGAGGGACTCAGGAGCGCAGGGTTCTAAAACTAGGTCTGGAATAGCGACACACGTTGTGGGCCCTTAGACTTCACCGTTCTTAGCTTGAGTCTCTTGGTCTGTAAAACAAGGGAGGTGGGAGTAAGCATTTCCCAAAATTCCTAACCACGCAAACTTTATTACCATGATAAGTTTCCACCTTACTGTTCATTTAAATCACCAATAGGAAGAAGGAGCTAACTTTTGGAACCTCTCAACAGAAACCTGGGGGCTTTTTTAAATTTCATGCCTTAAAGAGAAAAGAGTATCTTCCTACCCACAGTTTAGGGGGGAAATGACCTAAAATGGAAAACAGTAAAGCTAAGGTTCTTGGGTAATGATATGAAGCTTCTTAGCCACTTCTTATAATTCCTTATCATGAACAAAACCTTGGATAGAAAATGAAATATTAATTTGTCAAGCTTACATGTGGCTAGGTATCTAATACTAACATGGTCTTAGATCCTTTAAGAACTTGTGAGGGAAGGGAATTTATAAAATTATAAACGACAGCTCTTTATTGCTCACAATGTATGACTTTCTGTTTTTCTTGGAGGGTTCTTAATCCAAACAAGGTCCATTTCGTGAATATTTCCACTTTATTAAATATTTATCAAATGCTTACTATGTGCCACTTACTGTGCTGATAGCTAGAAATGATGACACACATACTCCCATTTTAGTGCAGGAGATACACATAGACAACTATTTTTTTTTTTAATGTGGTAAATGCCTGAAAACAGAATAGTTCATTCTGCTTGGGGAAGACATGAAAGAAGAAATAATATTTCAGTTCAGCCCTGAAGATTGGGCAGGGTCTTATTAGGGTATATAGAAGGAGAGTATTCCAGAAAAAAAAGAAGAAAAAGAATAAAACAAAACATTAGGACCAGAGTCTTGGAAGTACAAATGTCATTGGCTAGAAGGCAGAGTTGGCAAGTAGAGGACGGAGGAACAACCAGAAAGAGGAGCCAGATTGTAAAATGTTTAGCTGAGGATTTGTGACTTCATTTTCTAGGCAGTGGGATGACGTGGGAGACTCTTAAGCAGAGAAGGTATATGACCATGTTTGCATTTTCAGTAGTTAATTAAGTCAGCTCTACGGAAAATGTGTTAGAAGGAGGTACCACATATTCTGCTAGGTTTCTGTTTTTGAACACTCTAGATGCATTCTGTCAGTTAGCAAACTTCAGCCTATTTCCTTTTATTCCCTGTATCTAATTGTTTACCAAGGCCTGACGATGCTTTCCTTTAGCTTGATCCTTCCATAACTGCCTTACCTCCTTTCCTCTAAGAAACCTCTGAGAGTTCTCCGTCGTCCACAGGACAAGGCTCATACCTATCCAACTAGCATTCAGAGGTAGTGGCGTACATTTTTTTACCACCTCTTAACATGGATCTTCTCCAGCCTGATCTTCCCACATTCCCTTATCATTTTTTATTTCTGGTCTTTAATCATGGGCTCTCCCCTCTCTTTTTTCTCCAAATCCTACCTCTCATTCTAGTTCTGACTTCTTTGCATGTCCCTGGTCACTCCAGTCCCCACAGGTCTCCAGGTTCTAGAAGTTCTTAAGACCTTATTTTCAAATGCATGAGCATTTGGTACTGTATCATTTAAACTGTTGGCTGTTTTATATGTATATGTCTCTTCTGCCTAACTAGATTGTAAGTGGGTATAGTTGTAGCTATAAAATTAAAGCCTTGATATTTATTTTAGACAAATGAAAACAAGACCTGGAGAAGCCCTTATTGATTGTTTAGATTCAATTGAAGACACCAAAGGAAATAATGGGGATAGAGGTGAGTATATTGCCTAATATTTTTTATATTTCTGGTTTGATTTACAAATGTTAAGTCATATTAGCTGGAGAATAAGATACGAAACACCATTATATGTGAAAGTGAAAGAGTTAAATCTGCATAAGACTTTTCTCAGACTTAGAAGAAAGAATAGGTATGAAACCTATAGCCAGGGAATACAGGTTCTTCCTCAGAATTTTGGTCCTTCAATAAATCCCAGTTTTGACATTTACTTTCTCCAACATAACTGTTAAAACTCTAGGATCCCTCTCTGTGAGGAGCACGGGATAGATCTGACTTTTGAATCTGCCTCCCCATGAAAGAATATAACATAGTGGAACATAAGTAGGTCATAGCTTTGCTACCTGGAGCCATGCTTCCTTTTAAGAACTCTAAGAGCAATTCACAATTTCTCAAGACTGACACCTAGAGATGGACATATGGAGTGCAAATTTAGTGCTGTATTGTGAAGCCTATTTGTAGGTTAAGCACTGAAAAATCATGTGAGACATCTACGTATGTCACTTGTCACTGAGGAACAGCCAGAGCTGGACTCTCAAGTCCCTCCCACCCCAAACCAAATCCCAAAGGCTGTAACTTTGAAAAACCCCAGGCTTCATACAGCTGTACATGGAGCCATGTCCAGTGACTGGGTCTTATAAGCGTCACTACTGTTGTTTAAGAAAAAAAAAGGCGGGGGGATGTGTAGGCAGCTTAGCAGATCTGAAAAGGCTTTTTAGGGGAAAGGAGGTTTAAGAAGATGAGTCATAAACCTCTTATTCAAGAGAAGAGTAAGTGTGGGGAAAAGGAACAGACCTCATTCAGGAAGAAGGATCAGTAAATAAATCCTAGAGAAGGAATAGTAACCCTTAGAACAGAGAAGGAAGATCAGTAAATCCTAGAGACGGAATAGTAACCCTTATTGGCAGAGTAGGCTCACTGCAGCCTTTCAAGTGGCCACTTGCTCTTTGGGTCTTTCTTCTGGTCTGTTCTGGAGTGGTATGTGAACATCAGGTTTCGTTGTGGGCCTTCCTTCCCTGTGAAGTGAACCTGTCATTACCAGCCTGTAGGCACATCCTGTCAATGGCAAGGGCCCATCCTTAGAAGACTCCTTAGATCGCATTTATGAAATGCTCCTAATATCAGCCAGGCCCAGGTAAAAGTGGGGTATGAAGATTTTGCAGCAAATAAGAAGTCTTAGTTTGTGCCTTTGAGGGTGGAATAATAATAATCTCTAGATGGCTAGATCTTAACAAACCTGAATTAACTTAAGGAAGCCCTTAGAAGGTTTGGTTGTTCTCATACAGACTGACAGGAACTCTTAGGTGACAGTCCGTCCACCAGTCCAAACAAAGACTATGGGTAATAGAACATTTTTCAATTCATTGAGTGCTCATTAAGTACAGAATCACATACTAGTACTTTGGAGTAAAGAGGGCAAGACACCTCCCTGGCCAAAAGTCTCCATCAGAGTGCCTGAAATCTTCCTATTTGTAAAAGTAACTGTATTTGTACACATCTCAGAAAAAGTTCCCCAGAAAATGGCATTTTACAGGAGTGTGCTGAGCTTTTGGTTAATAAGAAGGTAGAAAAGAGAAGGGGATTCCTGTGTTCTAGCCATCTCCCTCCCTTCCTTTTCAGCGGTTTGAAAATGACCAAATTAAGGCATTACAAAGTTCAGGAGACTCATGTTAAAACTAAAATACCCCAGAGTGCCTGGGTGGCTCAGGTGGTTAAGCATCCGACTTTGGTTCAGGTCATGATCTCACAGCTCATGAGTTCAAGCCCTGCATCGGACTCTAGGCTGAGTGCTCGGATCCGAGAGCCTGCTTTGGATTCTGTGTCTCCATCTCTTTCTGTCCCTCCCCAACTCACGCTCTGTCTCTCTCTCAAAAATAAACAAACATTTTTTTAAAAAAGCACCAAACTATAAATACCCCCAAAGATTAGCACATTTAATCCATTTCAACTGTAAGTAGCCTGACATGAAATTATCAGATTAGCTTTGCACATTGAAGTAGTATGGGAATGAAATAGCCATATTTCAATGTTTGAGAGATTAGGAAAAACGGGAACAGTTATATTTTGGTGCTTGGGAAGGGGTTTTCTGAGAGGAAAGTGTATGACCTGGCTATAGATTACTCATCAAAAGAATTCTGTGGTTATTTGTTGAAGAAATATTGGTTCAAACAGAGTTAAGTTTTATTCAGGATATCTCAAAACTATCCTAATATGCTAATTGCATTATAAATCTGTAAGACACATAGTTTTCCATGCGCAGATTTACTTGACTTTTTTTTCTCAGAGCATTTATAGGGATGACTATTTCATAAGGCACACTGGGAAAGGAAGTTATCTAACTCCACATTTCAGTGTAAGAATGTCAGTCTGAGGCTAGAATGAAAAGCATTAAAGCCTTAAGCACACTTCAGCCTGGCCATAACTTCATATAAGCAAAAAACATTTTGTTTATAGCAAAAAAAAAAAAATGGGCATGTAAGTGTGGCTCATGTAAATAAGAACTGTTAAGAGAGTATTCCTGTTGCAGGGAATAGTGTATATATGAAAGTCCTTTGAGAAGTGTGATTTCACTGAATGACTTTGTAATTATACCATCCCATACTCATTCTCACTTGTGCATTTTTGACCTGCTGGAGCCCCCCGGAACAATTTCCACCAAGACAAAAATCTAGTACACAATTCTGTCTTTTAATTTGAGTTAAACCAAGCTTTTGGCATTGAATACCTGTATTCCCTCTGT